TACCTAACGCAACAATGCTTCATTCACTCACTGCCACAGAAAGTCAGGACACACACACACACACACACACACACACACACACACACAGTTTTCCAGGAGCAGAGGCCAAGGCCAGGGGCTGCCATGGCTGCTGTGGCTTCTGGGGCAGCTGCCACCCTAACTCAGTGGGAGATTGGTTGACGCATCTCCATAACAAACATCTCCCTGGCAAACCCTGTCTGAGACTCATCATTACTCATCAAGAAGGCTCTGAAAAGCTCTCATTTGGGGCTAGCCAAGGTGTCCTTTAAAAAGTGCTCCAAGAAGGCTGGCTCTCCTCCAGCGCTAACAGACTCCCAATTAGGGTGACTCACTGCTAGACCCTTACAGGATGTACCAATTATGGTGGGATATTTTAAAAGGACTTCGGCTCCTCCCTCACAACGGCCTTTCTGTGTGATGCCAACGCATATAATGTACTTACTGTATAAAAGCAGACCGTTTGTGTGCTACAAATATTCTCTGTGATTAGCACAAGACAACTACTGAATAATAATTGTAATTATTTGAACAGGCAGGATTTTAAGCCAAAAAGGTATTTAAAAAAAAAAAAAAAAAGTATCTTGGGGCTGGAGAGATGGCTCAGAGATTAAGAGCACTGGCTGCTCTTCCAAAGGTCCTGAGTTCAATTCCCAGCTACCTCACAGTGGTTCATAACCATCTATAATGAGACCTGGTGCCCTCTTCTGGCATGCAAGCATACATGCAGGCAGAACACTGTATACATAATAAATAAAATTAAATTTAAAAAAAAAAAAAAGGATCTCTTAGTTCAAGCTACAGTTCAATTTGAATCTAGCTACCTGTGTTCTGTAGCACAGAGCAGAAAGATGTACCATGAAAACAGCCAAGGCACACATGGAAGGTCTCCTGGGTCCCTACGCAGGGCTTCATCCTTAAATGGATCAAACGGGGCTGGAGAGATGGCTCAGGCCAGATGCCTCTGTTAGCTTGGGTGGGAGTCGGGGACTTGACTGGAATATGTGCAAACCGGAACCCAATTTAAATGAGCACAAAACCACCACCAATGACTATTTTAGCAAAATTTCCTCTCGAGTCTGCAATGAATCTTGATAATGCTTTGATGATCTCACTTCTAAAACTTGTGAAATAAAAACTTGGTATTGTTATGTAATGTTTAAAGAGATACAATCTTAAAACACTGGGTTTTTAGCACAGATCCCACAGTTCTCAACCATTAAAGGATTACAGCTGATACAAATGATTAATTAACAAACATTAAGCGAGTATCATAATGTTGGCATGAGCTATGGGCTTAGAATACACAGGAACACTTAACACTACACAGACCACAGACCTATGAAAGGTTCACACACACACACATCACACACACATGCATACTCATTCTCTCTCTCTCTCTCTCTCTTTCTCTCTCTCTCTCTCTGTCTCTCTGTCTCTCTCTGTCTGTCTGTCTGTCTCTCTCTCTCTCTCTCTCTCTCTCACACACACACACACACACACACACACACACACACACACGCACACAAGTGTGGCTTGATAAGACAAGGTCGGACACAGTAAGAACTGAAATCTTGGTGACACATCCACTACATGATTAAGTCAAGTCCCCCAGTGACAGTATGGTCTGACGGGGATTTTGAATGAGCTCTGCAAGGACACAGAGACCACAGGGCAGGAAACGGGCAGTATTCATTATGAAAGAGCTGTCACTTTGATAGCATCCTTTATAGAAAAGAAGGTTTGGATGCGGTTCCATTGCCTGCTCATGGTTTGTGGATTCGAGCAAAAGGAGACTACGAGGCAGAAAAGTCCTGGTCCAAGCCACCTCATCCCCACAGCCTGCTCTTGGCAGCCATGGTCCAGGGAGGGTGCAGGTGAGAGGAATCATGATTCCAGGTAGAGGATTTTCCAACCCATTCACACTCATCCTCCAGGAGGCAGGGCGCCTGAGGCCAAGCCACGCCCCAGGAGCAGTTTTAGCAACAACAGTGGCATACTAAGGAAACCGTACCTAGCTTCCCGAGGAGGCAGAACATGGAGCTGAATATTTTGTATCACCAAAGAGTACCTCACTGCCTCCCAAAGAACTGTCATAGGGTCTAACAATTTACTATAATTCAGGGTTGTTTTTTTTTTCAGACTAAATTTCTAATTCATCAAAATTATTCTCATCAATGTGTTGGATAGTTTTTGAAAAGACACAGTAAGTTTGTCCCTGCTGATCATTATCGGGCTTTTTAATTTTAATTATTTTTATTTATGTTTGTGTGTGTATGTGTATTTGGGTGCCTATGGAGGCCAGAAGAGAGCATCAGGGTTCCTGGAGGCAGTTGTGAGCTGACATGAGGGTGCTGGGAACCAAACTCAGGTCCACCGTAAGAGCAGCAAACTCTCTTAAGTGCTGAACCATCTCTGTGGCCCCATTATCAGTGTTTTAAAGATTATTTTATTATTTTATTTATCTGGGTGTTTTGCCTGCACGTGTATCTGTGTATGATGCATGTGCTTAGTGTCCACAGAAGCCAGAGAGAATATCAAATTCCCCTGGAACTAGAGTTACAGGTGGTTGTTAGCCACCATCCGGGTACTAGGAAATGAACTTGGGTCCTCCTAAAGAAGAGTAAGTATTCTTAACCTCTGAGACATCTCTGCAGCTCCACCGCCAGCCTTTCAACTTTGATGAACTCAGATGTTCATTAGAAATAAAACTGCAGATAAGACAATCTTAGGGAGGAGAAGTTAGAGAAATGGACAAATATGAACTACAGTTTTAAAAGAAGGAAGTGAGTTTGGAAAAAGCACTGAGCAACTATCAGCATATCCAAGCAGTACGCCCCACTCCTGATCGATCACACTCAGAAACAGAAGGAACTCTGGAGACAAGAGAGGGGCATTGCTCACCTCCACTGAGGATGCCCAGAGAAGCATGTACCATCCATGCAAAGGCCTTTATTGTCATGAAGGAAGGGGTAACTTGGGATTCGCTAATATTCAAAAGAGGGTCAGGTACTGCTGACAGACGAGTATAAACCAGACACTACTCAAGCCCAGCCACTCTTAGTAACTCCTGTTAAGGTGGTGATGTAAGTTTAAAAGCCTCCAAAAATACTTAACGTTCAGAGGACACCTCTTAGCTTACTTAGTAGGGACCATTTTAATTCTAAACTTGTCTTTTAACAGATCCATGTGAAGACTCTACACCAGCATTCCCCTACTTAGTCAACAGAAAACAAGATGGCTGCCAAGATGGCTGCCCTGTCCAACCAAGTTTACCTCACTGGAGTTAGTGGAGTTTTGAGGTAGCTGAGTTCCAGGAAATCCATGGCCGCTGCTCGAATCAAACATCTGACAAACAGGAGGTTAAAAAAAAAGAAAAGACTAATGAAATGGCTCTGCAATGTTCCCTTGGCATCCACACATTTTCGGTTTAAAGACTGAAGTTGCATAACATTTTGTGAGATCCTCATTTCACAGTCTGCAGTAATATTCAAATAGGAAACTTTCCCTCTGCAGAGAAATCTGCTCTCTTTCCTCCCATAGTTTCATATTTACTTTTCTGTGATGTCTCACAGCACTCAAGTCATCTTGGATTTTCTTGATATTGCTTTTTTAACTAATTATGCATTTCAGAAGATGCGGAACGGAGTTGGCTAAGCCACAAAATCAATCTTACAACTGTTTTTATGTGCTTAGAATAAATATTGGAAGACAATATGTTAATAGAGATTTGTTTGAAGCCAAAAAGCCTAGAAATCACTTTTTACTTTTGTCAATTTTATCTTCTCAATTTTGTAGAATGCAAACATCAAATAGAATATTCAACTAGGAATAGTTATTACATCAACTTTATTCCGCTACGTAAGTATTAACTTCACATCTTTTTTAAAACAAAAAATGTTCAACCAAATGCTTTTATTTATCAAGGAATCTTTTGTTGAGAACACTTAGCAGATATGCTGAGGCAGACAGTAAGGTTCATTTAATTAACTAAATGGTACTTCTAAAAATAAGCAAGTTACCCAGTTATCTATCACATTATCACTTTAATTGCATAAGGTTATCTTGATTGACATCAAAATTGACCTTGACATTATATACAGAACTTAATCATGAAGGTTCCATTCAGAAAACATAGGCCCAATATTAGCCAATGGATTATAGTTAACCACTACCTATAACCAATCAAGAATTACTTCTTGTAACTAAATAAAAACACAAGTAGAATTGTAAGTCTTTAATTTGCTTTCCCTTTATTTGTGTGTGTGTGTGTGTGTGTGTGTGTGTGTGTGTGTGTGTGCGCGCGCGCGCGCGCGCGCGTGCGCGCGTGCTCATGTCATAGGGAATGAAGAAAAGTTAGAGAACAATGTGTGGAGTTAGTTCTCTTCTACCATGTGGTTCCTGGGGAATCGAACTCATCACTAGGCTTGATGGCTAGCACCTTTCCCTAGTGGGCTATCTCACCAGTCCTTAACGAGGTGATTTTCTTATTGTATGTGAGTACTTAAGAAACCAGTGGCCCCATAAAAGAACTTACACATATTTTGCTGTTTTTCCATCAACCAATCCATTCCCTCTCATCCTACCCTTCACAATTTCAGGATTTTAAAACAACTTCGTTGTTCACAGTTATAGAGACACAAATTAGGAAATAAACTTCAACAAACTGTGGCCATCTCTTTAAAATAACAACCACAATCATTTTCAGAACAACAGCAACTCACTGAAAATCATTGCAAATCTTTCCCCTGTCAAAATACAGCATAAGATCATCTTATGACTTTTTCTTTCAACAGTACTTGAACAAATAACCCTACAACCTATCAATCAGGAGAGAAATATCAGTTAACACATGCTGCACTATGGGTTTGGGGAAAACCTTTGGATTTGCACATTCAACATGCTCTCATGCTACGTTTGCTGAACGTAGGGCCATATTTTAGTTGGCGTTGTTCTTCTCTGATATACTAAGAGCAAACACTCCCCACTGGAAAACATGCAGCAGCAACTGTCCATTGTTTTAGGGCTTTGGACACTACAGACAGGTCCAAGTTCCAACCCTGCCCTATGGCACTAGTAAACAGACAAGGTAAATCCAAAGCACCAAGTTTCCCTCTGTAGTGCGGGCTGACAAAATACATTGTCAGGGTGAAGGACTTGAGGGAGCCAAGAATCTAGCACGATCATAGAATCTAGGACTATCAATAACATCTAGGACTAGCAATAGAATCTAGCACTATCAATGCAATCTAGGACTAGCAATAGAATCTAGCACTATCAATCAGTATAACCTAGGACTAGATATAGAATCTAGCACTATCAATCAGTACATTCTAGGACTAGCAACAGGATCAGTACTATCAATAGGATCCAGGACAATCATCAATAGAATCTAGCTGCATTTCCTTGGATTAACATCTTTCCTGCATTTGTTTTCATATAAATTAAGGCAACAAAAAGTATAGATTGTTTTCCCTAATAATTATTTCCCCTCCCACCTACAAACCTTTTCTTCTAGCAGGGGTCCATACACGCTAAGGCAAACTCTCTACTACTGAATCAAGCTTCATTTTCTACATTTTTTTTGAGACAGGGTTTCCAGCCCAAGCTGACCTCAAACTCCCTGAAGATGGCTTTGAACTCCTAATCCTCCGACCCCAGTTCACCAAGTGCTGGAGTTACACTTGTGTGTAACTGTCCCTGGGTGTGCAGTCATGAAGGTCACACATGGAGCTTCAGGCATGCTCAGCAGGCACTCCCCGAATTGGGCCACACCCCCAGACCAGTTTTCTAATAACTCTCCTTCCTTGTGTTCCTAAGAACTGACTGCGCAGGCGGGCCTGCCTTTGGAGGTACGCTAAAGCAGACGAAGCCGTTTGTGTGTTTCACATGGGCACATGTCCCTGACGAACCCAGATTCCTTTGAATCACCTTTGACTTCACCTTTACCAGAAGACAAACACTTATGGCTTGCAGCAGTCTGGACATGGGGGTGTCAAGAACGCCACCTAGCCTCTTGTTCTCCCCATGCTGAGAACTCACCTGAGTTATGGAAGCCCTCTTCTCCTTCCCTTTTCTTGCCAGGGTGTCCAGCCCTTTCAAGGAGGAAAATATGCCTTTCTTGCTTTTCCCTCTCTGGGAAAGGGAGAGTGTTCTTTTCCTGAGAGCAGAGTCATCTCTAGAACACACCTAATGGAAAACACATTTGGAAAGACATCTTAAAGCCTGTCAAAGTGTCTTTGCACGTAGACTGTCAGCCTTGCTCTAAGTGCGTTCTGCTGGTGACTGAGTCTGCTGCATTGTTCATACACAGAAAGGCAGCCTCCGCACAGCTGCCTCTTATCTAGACAGCACAAGCCAAATCCCAACATTCAGATGGCTCCGCGGTGGGCAGCAGAGTCAGCAAAACTGCTCTGATCCCCTCAAGCTGAGCCAGTTCAATGCAGAAGTCGGAAGCAATTTCAGACTCCACCTGCTGCTCATGGGGCTCCCAGGCTACAGGCCAAGCAACCTTTATTTCTGTATTGTGTTTGTATGCGTGTTCATACGTCTGCAGGTGCACGTGGACACCAAAGGTCAACTAATTAGTGTCGTTCCTGAGGTACCATCCATTGTTTATTCTTTTAAGTTTCCTCCTTTTCATGTGTATGTGATGTGTGTGCCTGTGCATATGCATGTTCATGTGTGTGTGTGCAAGCACATGTGGGGAGGCCTGAGGTTGACATCAGGAATCTTCCCCGATTCCTCTTCCACCTTGTTCTGTGAAGACAGGGAATATCAATCAAACTCAGAGTTCATTGATATTACTAGTCTGGCTAGACAACTTGCTCAGCTGTAGGGATCCTTCCTTCCAGAGGCTGGAATTACGGGTGGGAAGCCATGGCCACCAAGCATTTGCAGGGACTCAAATCAGAATTCCTCTCCTCTTGCTTCACAATTGTTGGGCCATCTCCCTAGGCCTCCATCTTTTTTTCTTTTTGTCATACTTTTTGGAGATAGGTTCTTGTTGGCCTGAAGCTCTCCAAGTAGAGGTTCTAGGGATGAAACTCAGGTCTTCACACTTGCAAAGAAGTCACTTTACTCTCTGAGTTATCATCCCAGCCCCAGGTTAAGGGACATTTGTGGTGGTATTCTAATCGTACTGAAATGTGATTTTGATTGTATGTTAATAAATAAAGTTGCCCGGGGGTCAGAGCTATTAGAGCCATAGACAGACAGAGTGTGGCAGTGGTGGCACACGCCTTTAATCCCAGCACTTGGTAGAAGAGCTAGGTAGATCTCTGTGTGTTCAGGGATACAGCCAGCATTGGAGACATATGCCTTTAAGATTTGGGGGGCTGTACATACAGACAGTGACGAGGCAGTCACGTGTTTGGGTTTACAACCAATGAGAAGGCAGAACAAAAAGACTATGAAAAGACATACACACAGGAAGTAGCTCTCTTTTGGGAAGCTAGGACCACCGCAGGAGGAAGGGTGAGAATTTAGTTCTGAGCTCTGACCTCTTGGCTTTCTCTTTTACATTGGTTCTGTGTTTCTTATTTAATAAGATGGTTGGTTACATCTACAGACATTTAATCCACCTTTTTCTTCTTCAGCCACTAGGACCACTCCTCAGAGATCCCACCTTCCCAAGAGTATGACAAGGGACAGACCAGTGGATAAGAATATGGAGTAACTTCCGACGAACAGCTAGACTCCTAGAAATCCGAGGAACTGTAACTACAGTCTCCCATGCTGGTCCCTGTACCTAGCCTCTGTGAACCTTGTCAAGTTACCTGTCAGTCGCTGGACGTTAGCAGCCAGCTGGGGAGAGTCAAGCCTCTTTGAAAGCCACTGACCCAGCCTCCCCCCGGAACTTACCAGGGCATGGAAAGACGAAACAGACAGGACACCCAGTCTGCCCAGAGCCAGCTTGGACGGACGGCTGGTGGCAGCAAGGAGACTCTTGGGGTTCGGCAACTCCCCACCTTGTAAGCTCGCCAAGTAGCAGCGCATGCGGAACAGGTCCATGTGGAATTTTTCCAGATTCTGCTCCCATTGCTGGATCTGAAACGGCAAGGAGAGAGATGACTTCGACCTAAGCTACAAGTCTGTGCTGCTCAGATTGCAGGGGCAGTGTCTTCCTCAGCCCTCAAGGAAAAGTGACTAGCAGCTGAAGTCGTGTGGTTTCAATCTGCCACCTCTGATCCCCATATCTCACACCCTCCTACTGAAACACACTGGGTTGGACACATGGGGACACACACAGACACACACACACACAAACTTCATCAGGACAGTCAAAATCAAAGGCAGCTGGGGGGAGAGGGGACAATACAGTGACATGCCAAAGTGCATGATGGTTACAGAACAACACTAAACTGCGATGACAACATGGGATGCAAAGTGAAACATGGGTCTCTCTTGCTTCATTTCCCTTCCCATTTATACACACCGAGCCTCTACTGTCATGGTTCTCAACCTTCTGGCTGTGACCCCTTTGGGGGTCATATATCAGATATCCTGCATATCAATATTACTTTACGATTCCTAACAGTAGCAAATTTGTAGTTATGAAGTAGCAACAAAAGTAATTTTGTGGTTGGGGGGGGTCACCACAGCATGAGGAACTGTATTAAAGGGGTGCAGCATTAAGGAGGTTTAGAACCACTGCTCTCCCAGATGAGCTGTCCTTGGACAGACACGCATGCACGATGGCAGTGACCTGTTTAATCAGTACTTCTCCAAAACAATGACAAGCAAGTGCCCTTCAGGGACAGGGTAGACGTTCAGCACTCACTGCTGTTCAGTGTCTGGGGGGAATCAACACCACCTGTACATCTGAAAAACTTAAAGCAGCTACAGATGTTTATACAACAGAAGTTGCCATGTATTTCTTCAAAACAAGGAGTCACGAGTTGGCAAAGAACCACCCTCAAATGGCATCTGTTTAGGGACCTCTCTCCGGTCTTTGCAGTACATCACCACCACCGGTTTATATAAAATGTGACCTCCATTTGCACGCAGATCAACAGACACAGGTGATTTGCCAACACAAGGCTCAGAGCAGGGCTGAAAGTTGGCATTCCACAGACCCTGGTGCCATCTCCATTCAGCAAACAGTGACCACTGGGCACTGGACTCCATCAAGGGTGACAGAGTTCCTCAGTACCAATGGCATCTCCTGTTGCCTGTTATTTAGCCTTCACAGAGACCCAGATAAAATATCTTATATGTTGGTCATTCATTCTGGATAAAGGGTCATTAGAAAGATTTCCAACACTGAACATTGCCCCCATCCAGTCTTTTCCAAAAATTTAAAATGTGGAGTAGTCCCCAGACTTCCTGTAAGTCAATGGTTCCCAACCTTTCCAATGCTGCACCCCTTTAATACAGTTCCTTACATTGTGGTAAACCCCCAACCATAAGCTTATTTTCATTGCCACTTTATAATTGTAATTTTGCTACTGTTATGAACTGTAATGTAAATATCTGTGTTTTCCGATGGTCTCAGGTGACCCCCAGAGGGGTCGCGACCCACAGGCTGAGAACCACTGCTCTAAGTTCTCTTCATCCATCTCTTACAAGCTGAAACAAATGCATTGAGAGTTCTGGGGTGCAGCTCAGTCAGCAGAGTGCTTGCTTAGTAGCTTACACAAAGCCCTGGGCTGGATCACAGATTGGGCATCATGGTGCAGGCCAGTGAGCCCAGCATTTAGAAGGTATAGGCAAGATCGGGTGTTTAAGGTCCTCTTCAGCTACCTATTGTCCTCCTGAGTCCAGGGGGAAAAGTTTTTGAAAAAGCTATCTGGACATGGAAGTGAAAAGCTTCCTCTACACACTGAGCACTCCATTTAGTAGCACACAGGACAAAACACAGCAACGACATGGATGGTACAAGAGATAGGGGAACCATTTGAATGAAGCTTTTTATTACTATAAAAGGGGTATAGTGTGTGTATATGTGTGTGTGTGTGTGTGTGTGTGTATCTGTGTGAGAGTGTGTGTGTGTGTGTATCTGTGTGTGAGTGTGTGTGTATGTATATGTGTGTATGTATGTGAGTGTGTATGAGTAGGTATGTGTGTAAGAGTGTGTGTGTGTGTGTGTGTGTGTGGTGTGTATTATGTGAGTGTGTGTGTGAGAGAGTGTGTGCGTATGTGGACCGGAGTTCTACACTGCATGTGTGGAGATCAGAGACAACTTTCAGGAGCTGGCTCTCTGCCTCCACCTTCACACGGGTTCCAGAGATCAAACGCAGGTCATTAGGCTAGATCCATTGAGCCACTTCACCCATCCCATAAAAAGGGAAAATTTTAATGATGAAATCACACAGGAAAATCCTAGGTCTAAGCACTGACATAAATTCAGTGACCAGTTTCCTCTTCGTTGATAAAAAAGTCATGGTCAGCGAATGAGCTCAGAGATATTTTGGACGGCTGTAAAAGAAAGGGAGGAGACGAAGCCTGGGAATAAAAATAATGATGAGGCAAAGGAGTACGTGACGCATCTGAAGAAAGATGGCGCATCCCTGCCGGACCAGCCCTGTTAAGAAAGTATTTTCTCTCATCTAGTCATTCAGCTGTAACATCTGGACCAACTGTACATTACTAGGCTTGGCCTAAAAGATCATTTACTTTTTCCTTTTTGGTGGAAGGAATTTAAAAAATTCCCACGCAGTGCTTTGCAAACACTGAAACCTGCGTTCACTAAAGATCCCAACCAGTGACGAGGGTCTACCAGAGTTGACAAGCGGCTAGAACAGCAAGCGATGGTCCAGCAGCCAGCTTGGTTGTTTCCCTGGAGATAAGTCACCCGTTTCATAGCCAGTAAGTTTTCCTGCCAACCAAACTGGGAACCCCAAGTTACGGGAGCCAGGGAACCAAGTGTTCGTCTCTCCTTCGTTCAGAATCACCCATCCCACATGTAGTCAGCAAGCGAAGCAGCGTGTGCTTTACTGAAATGCCACTGAGCAGCAGCTGACCACTGGAGAGCAGAGTTGGGTTCATTCCCGGCTCAGCCACTCACCAGCTGTGGGCTATCAGAGACCCCACTCACCTAAGGGTCTGCTCCTCTACCCCTCAAATGGACGCAGTCTACCCATCTCTCCGGGATAGAGAGATCAGAAAATCAAATACACCGTGGCTTGAGAAGGAATCAGAATACTCAACCAGACAGGGAAGTAGTAGGGAGGGATGCAGGGGAAGGGACCTGTTAGCTGGGAGTAAAGAAGGGAAGGGGAGGAGGGGGGACTCAGAGAAGAGCTGGGTTTCCTACAGTGAGGAAGTAAGACCCTTGACTCAGGGCCTGTGATAGCTACTGCTAATTTTCAACTTGACAGCATCCAGAATCACCCAGGAGACAAGCCCTGACCACTGCATTGAGGGGTTACTCAGATGAGATCAGCTGAGGTAGGGGGAGCCACCCGAAAGGTGAGAGGCACCCTTCCATGGGCTCCACACGGTATTCTGTCACAGCAACAAGCAAAGTGACTAATATGGGACCTGGTGTCCATTCCCTCACCACCTCCAGAAAATAACCAAAGACGTGAGCAGTGGGTCCTTTAGGGGCTGCGTTCTGCAGCAGGGACAGGTGGGGCCACAAGGGACAATTGGAAAGCCACATACTGAGCAGGGAGAAAGACAGAACCTGTGTGAGGAGGGCAGGGCACTCATGAAGGGAAGCAGCCAGGAGGCCTTCATGAGAAATGGGATGTGCAGGGCGATCCAGGAGACGAGGAGGAAGGAGGCGGCATGTATGCACACCACGCGGAGGCCCCTCTGCTTCTGCGTCCCCAGAAATCAGATAGGAATGGAGACGCCGTCGAAGAGGAACCAGCAAAGTGGGCTTCTGGATGAAGGCCGGAGTGGAGGGAGGGTCATCTAAGCCACGGGAATGCCACAGGCATTGAAACCAGGAAACCTCCTAACTGGATGTGCTGGTTACGTGTGAACTCTCTTGATTGTGTGAAAATACATCACCCTGCCAAGGGCACCCTTCTCCATCCCTTTTCTGGCTAACACCTCATTTCCGAGAAGGAATTCAGATGGTCTCTCCTCCAGGAAGTCTCCCAAGAACACAGAGGAAGCCAAATCTCCCCTTGCTGCCTTCCCCGGGGCTATGACACTCTAGTGCTCTGACTTCATCACCTTGTGTTGAAACCACAGGCCGAGCTCTGCCATCCTTCCAGATGGAGGGCACTCTGAAGACAGAGCATCCCCTGGTCTAACCACGTACCTAGCCTGGAGCGTGGACTAAATTAAAGCTCACGGAACTAGGGTACACTTGGTCTGCTGTCCACCACACTTCCAACATCTCCCTGCTGCCCACTAAAGACAGTCCATATCTGTGCACAGCACCTTCATCAACTAGCCTTGTCCTCAAGCCCCTTCATGACTATTCTCCATTCTACTCCACAAATTGTGCCCCTCTACAGGTCACATGACATCCTCAAGGCTTCATCCACTCTGCCCCCTCACCATAGTTTCCAAATGTCTAAACACAACGCATCCTTCTTGATCCTCTTTATGTAAATATATAAAGGGATGCTCATGGCACACGAAGGCTGGAGCAATAGATACAGCCCCTCTCGTGGGGTTCCTCCAGACACCATAGCAGCGCTGGTAGCACACCTGCACCCCTTCTCCAGCCCACTCTTCAATGAGCAGACCCCTAAGTTCTTGGAAAGGGGACACAAGGAGGCAGGCTGTGAGGGGGAGGGGAAGCCGTCTGGGAGGATGCCAAGACTGGCTAAGGGTGGTGAGGCTTTTGTCCTGATTTACTTGTTTGAAATAATAAACGGAAAGGAAAATAAAGTACTAACTGGCCTTAATTTACAGTGCTTCCTCCCTTAGGACTTCAAAGGCGCTCCCCATGAGGACACACAGCGGGCTCTGGTGCGCATTGGACACGCTCAAATGAAAGTTGCATCATCTGCCCCGTGAAACAGCCCAGAGGCCGGAGGCCAGGACTGCAGCACGGTTTATTTTCAGCAAAGCGTGGGACCTCCACAGCAGCATGAAACACAGACATTGTCGCTGTGACAGTGTCACAGTGTCTATCAGGGAAGGGCGTCGACAACCGTTTTCTCCACCCACCAACTTCAAAGAGATTCTGTCCCTGAGATTTTTATCTGTCTCTTGCATGATGTCATCTTACACCGTCGGATCTGCCATTGTGAGGACACACGGTGGCTAGACCTGAAGTTTCTGGAGTCTCTGGGAGGAATGTTACATGATCAAAAAAGAGAAGGACCTGGAGAAAGACGTGTCAAGGTTAATGTATAAATCATCCAGTTAACAGCAGACTAGATACCTCCACACCAGAGTATGTGTAAGGGGCAGAGCACGTTTGAGAAGAGTGCAATACACTAAAGGGGCAGAAGGTGGGTATGGTGGTATTTTATTTGTACTGAAATGTGATTTTATTTGTATGTTAATAAATAAAATTGCCTGGGGGTCAGAGCTAATAGCAAGCCATAGCAGAGCTGGGCATTCGTGGCGCACACCCTTAATCCCAGCACTTGGAAGGCAGAGCTAGGTAGATCTCTGTGTGTTCAAGGATACAGCCAGCATTGGAGACACACACCTTTAATCTCAATACCAACCATAGAAGACCTGGAAGTCTCTTCAGACAGGCAGTGACAAGGCAGTCATATGTTTGGGTTTACAACCAATGAGAAGGCAGAACAGAAAGACTATATAAAGACAAACATACAGGAAGTAGGTCCCTTTCGGAGAGGTCTCTCAGCTTAAGAGGCAAGCTGCAGCAGGCGGTAAGGCTCTTAGCTCTGACCTCTTGGCTTTCTTCTTTGCATTGGTTCTGTGTTTCTTATTTAATAAGATGGTTGGTTACATCTACAGGTAGGTGCGGTATGAACCGCACCTATAGGCACACCCGCTCCTGGCTGAACACCCTTCGACCTACATCATCCTCAGGAGTGTTTTTCTCATTCTTAATAACCTCTTCTATTTCCACCTCTACCCATATGTGCCTGGGTCCTATTCTTTGTTCTGAGGCCCAAGAACCTGGAAAATCACGGGCACCCTCAGGACTCCAATCCATGCCTGTAACACAGGCATATGGTAGAGGTTACTAAGGTATTCAATTTGCTCTCTTGGTTGGTTAGTTTGATTGAGCCAGGTCTCACTCTGTAGCTCAGGCTAGCCTGAGACTCACAAGCAATCCTTGCTCAGGTGAAATTAAAAACCCACACTCTAAGATGGAGACTGCAGATTATAGTTATCATAACGCAATGGATGAAGACACACAAGGACATGACCGCATCTCCACCTCTACCTGGGACATCAACTCTACCTCTACCTGGGAAGTCTTTCTCTTTGCTTGAGACAACTCCCGGGATTCTCCTCTGGAAACACTGCTCCGGTGTGCTGGAGCAGAGGAACAATGAGTTTTGTTCCCCTGGGTTATGCCCGTGTGCCAGGTGAGCTCTTCCCGGAGGAAAGCAGGACAGAGCAGGGAGAAGGTGAGCGGGGCTCCGGGTGGGGAGCGCCTGTCACTGTGACAAAACCCCGAGTCCTTCCACCCTCTGCTTTCCTTTGCCAGCAGCCGCTCTGATCACGTGGAGCATCTTCCCTACGAACCGTTCCCTTAAGCAGCATAAATTCTATAGAATTACAGAAAACTGCATTCCAGCATCTTCTAACTAAACTCACAGGCATTTTTATGTCCCTTTGTACCTAAACATCCATTGCCACTTTTCTGCCCACTGTCTTTCCCTAGCCAATCTGTCCTTCAAAAGACATTTCCCAGAATGGCTACTTTGACCATGCTTTCTTTCTCCTCAACTTAAAACACTACATCCACCTCCAACCTTCAGCGCCAAGAAGGCAGTCAGCTCTCCCTCGCTGTGAGAAAACAACTGAGAAAATCAGCTGAGAGAAGAGGATACATTGGCTCACAGGTTCTGAGATTTCAGTGCCTGTTCACAGGCTGGGTTGTTTCTGGGCCCGTGGTGAGACAGAACATGGAGGACTGCTCAGGGCAGAACAAAGCTACTCACCTCATGGTGGCTGGAAAGCTGAGCGAGAAGAGGAGGAGGAGGCCAGAGACAAAATAAACCCTTCCAGGGCAGGCCTTCCCTTACCACTTCCTCCACCTAGGCCCCAGCTCCTAACGTTTCTACTACTTTTAATACTTCATCCATGACATCACGGTCCTTGTGAGCCAATGGCCTCCTAAAGGTCCCTCCTGTGAACCCTGCTGAAAGGAGATCAAGCCTTCAACACATTCGGGGACATTTAAAACCTAACTCACAACAACAGGATACAATCAACCCACCCAAGCCTTACAGTCAAAATCCATATGGCCTGAATGGTATGTCTCCCCCAGATCTCCACGTCAAAGGCCTGAATTCCCGAGGTGACAGAGCTGGGGAGTCAGGCTTTCTGACAGAGCACTCAGGAATGACATCAGTGTCCTTAGGAAGGGAACACAGAGAATTGCTTTGCTCCTCCCACCATAGAAGAAGACAGCAAGACAACACATCACCTACACACAGAGAAGCCGTCCCCATCTGCCATGGAACCCGCTCATGCCTTGATAAAGGACTTTCAGATTCCAGAACCACAAACAATAACTTTCCATTGTGTATAATCCACTTAGTTTACCAGCTCTGTTACAGGAAAGACATTGACATGGCACCAGCATCCATCCCACCCAAGTGCCACGTACTTATCATGCCAACTAACACTTCTATGCTAGGGTGCTCAGGAACCCCAAGCCACCTCTCTGTTACATCTGCCCCAAACCAAACGGCCCCTTCCCCCATGCATAATCCAACAATGTCTTAAGGCCATCTCCTTCCAGGAAGTCATCCTCATTTGTTCCTCAAGTTCCCAGCCCAACCCCAACCCTGCGATCTCTCGCAGCATTTGAAGACTGCGTGGAGGCTCACCTAACCTAGCCCGTTCTAGAACGTTCCTCATTGTCGTGTTTCCCAGGCTTGCTTTCTAACTAGATCATACATCCCTTAGAAATAAGATTCATGGGCTGGAGAGATGGCTCAGTGGTTAAGAGTACTGACTACTCTTCCGGAGGTCCTGAGTTCAATTCCCAGCAACCACATGGTGGCTTACAGCCACCCGTAATGAGATCTGGTGCCCTCTTCTGGCCTGCAAGGACACATGCATGCAGAACACTGTATACATAATAAATAAATAAATAAATCTTTTTTTAAAAAAAAAAGGAAGAAAGAAGATTCACATTTCATCATTTTTTCATGCTTTCAAGTCAGACACAGCTCTGACATATATCAATATGTGCAATAGGTAAGAGAGGGAAGAACAGAGCAGGGAGGAGACAACCCACTTGGGAGTGTGCGTAGGCGGTTGTGGGGTGACAGGCAGTCACTGGTACCTGGTTCTCGATGGCCTTCCTGTTCTTGGGGTCGCTCACCACGGACAGCTGCAGCTCCGCCATCTTCTTCATCTTGCTGTCCATGTCGATCTTCTGAAGCAGGCTCCTGGTCTGGCTCTTTAGCAGCCTCACCGTGTCTTCTTTCCCATGCTTCTTTGCGAAAAGAGACGCGCATGCCGAGTGAATGGCGGTGACCCAGTTTTCCAGATCTGTCTGGCTTGTGGCCTAGACATGGGATGGAGGAACTGTTTGAGACTGTTTGAGCACAAAAGTTCTCTCCACAATGGAAGACCAAGATTTCATGCGTCACACCCCAAGGGCTCTCTTCACAAAACACAAAGTTTAGTTTCCCAAACGTAAACACCCAACTCAGGTTCAAAGACTCTGAGAGAAGAACATAAAGAGTTAAACAGAGGGGTTGGAGAGATGGCTCAGAGGTTAAGAGCACTGACTGCTCTTCCAGAGGACCTGGGTTCAATTCCCAGCACCCACATGGTGGCTCACAACTATCTACAACTCTAAGATCTGACACCCTCACACAGGCATACACGCAGGCAAACCACCAATGCACATAAAATAAAAATAAACAATTTTTTTAAAAAGGAAGTTAAAAAAAAGAGTTAAGCAGAAAGGTCTGCAGAGCCCATGCTGGTTAGTTCTAACTGCTAGCTTGGTATAGCTGAGGATTTCCCATGAAGACTGGATTGTCTAGATAAGGTCGACCTGTGGCCATGTCTACAGGGGATTATCTTGACTGCTTTAACTGACATGAAAAGACCAGGATGAAAGTAAAGGGCACCTTTCCCTACTTTGGGTCCTGGGTTGTGTCAGAGTAGAGAAAGTGAGCTTAGCACCATGTGTATGTGTGTGGGGTGTGTGTGTGTGTGTGTGTGTGTGTGAGAGAGAGAGAGAGAGAGAGAGAGAGAGAGAGAGAGAGAGAGAGAGAGAGAGAGA